ACTACTAAGTAAAGCTAACATTGATATGCGAGATACAGGTGGTAACATACCATTACATTATGCGATAAGAAATAATTGCATCGATATCGTTAAGATTTTGATGCAGGGAAATACGAATATTAACGTTAATGTGAAAAATGGGCTGGAATTTACTCCATTGCACATAGCGGCGGAATTGGGCTATATCGAGTTGGTTAATCTTTTCCTTGACAATGAAGCAGACGTTAAAGCTAAAAACGATAAATACGCGACTCCGTTACATCTGGCAGCGCTCAATGGTCACATTGGAGTAGTGAAAGTTTTACTTTCTAAGCGGGCGGATGTGAATGCAGGGGATAATGAAGGTCTCACGCCATTACATTATGCCGTTAGAAACGGCCAAAAGACGATAGCGAAAGTTTTATTGACGTATGAATCCGACCCCAATGCCGGCGATAAACTCTATAACAATACACCTTTCCATTACGCAGCAATGTTTGGACATACAGAAATACTTCAGCTTTTACTGGAAAATGGAGCTAATGCATACATCCCGACTTTTATGCATTTGACTCCGTTGCATTTTGCAGCGCAGGGTGGTCACTTGAAGGTGATTAACATTCTTATCAATGACGGTATCTACGTTCACGCTAAAGACGGATTTGGCGCTACAGCATTATACTATGCAGCAAGCAGAGGTCATAAGGAAATTGTTAACGTTCTACTAAAAAATAAAGCGAATGCTAACGTTAAAACTTTTTGCGGTTTCACACCATTGCATGCGGCTGTCGAAGCTAAGCAAAAAAAAATTATTAATTCCTTAATACGATATAAGGCTAGAATAAATAGCAAAAACAATCGTGGTATGACACCGTTACATATTGCTGCGGGTACTCCTGGTAACAAAAATGTTATCAAACTTTTGTTGGAAAGAAACGCTACGATCGATATTAAAGATAATTACTGGATGACTCCATTACATATGGCTGCTTCAGTTGGCTGCGTAAGCAATGTTTCTCTCCTCATTAAGCATAAGGCTCCAGTAAATGCTAAATCTAAGAATTACGAGACGCCGTTGTATCTAGCTGTTTCTAACGGTCATAAGGAAGTTGTTACATTTTTGATTGAACATAACGCTGACGTGAATATAAGAAGTTGCACAAGGACGCTGTTGGATTTGGCGGTTGAGAATGGTGACAATGAAATCGTTCAAATTTTACTTGCAAACGGAATCGTATTTAATAATGATTGTATAGAACTAGTATGTACTGCTATTCGATTTAACTATAAGGAAATCATTGAGTCCCTCCTGATTGCAAGCAGAGCTGATTTTCGGTCACAACTGCAGAACAGTGCAGCTTTTGAGGAAGCTCTGGAGGATGCAATTATGGCCGGTAACATAGAAATCGTAGAAACTATTGTACAGTTAACAAATGAAACCGTTAACGGAAAATACCCTGATGGTAGGACAATATTACATGTGGCTGTTAAAACAGGTCGCTTAGATATAGTGGACACTTTAATATCAAAAGGAGCTAACGTTAATGCTGCAAGTATTTGTAATATAACACCTTTGCACGTCGCAGCGGAAAACGGTCACGATGAAGTTGTAGAATCACTGATAACAAACGGAGCCAAAATCAACGTTAAATCTACAGCGGGAAATTTTCCTTTGTGTTTGGCAGCAGAGAAGGGTCACTACAGAATCGTGGAGATTTTACTGGACAACGGAGCTACGATCGACGATAAAGATGGGAAGAATAGAACACCTTTGGAAATGGCGACAGCGAATGGACATTTGGAAGTGGTTAAGACTTTGTTGCTGCACAAGAAGGTGGATCTGAACACCGTTTACAATGATTCGACGTTGTTACATATGGCTTCACAGATACCTAACTTGGAACTGGTCAAATATCTGGTGGATGAAGGAGCTAATATTCATGCCATAAATTCGTTTCACACGAAACCCATACACCTTGCGGCTAACAAAGATATTGCAGAATATTTTGTCAGAAAAGGCTCAACTGTCAATGAATTAGATATAAGTGATAAGACTCCACTACACTACGCTACACAGAAGTGTCGACTGGAAGTTGTAAAATACTTGATAGAACAGGGTGCTGACGTTAATGCTAGAAGTAACATGGGTACGAGTCCCTTACACAATGCTGCTGCAACGAATTGTAGCGACATTGTTAAATTTTTATTGAAAAACGGCGCAGTGTACAATGCCACTGACATGAGTAACAGACTTCCATTAGAGATGACCACTGATCAACGTACTGCAGAACTACTAATAGTAATATGGAGGTTCTTTGAAGCTGTAAAACATAATAACGTTGTCAAAACTGAGGAGTACATTATAATCGGAGCGCCTGTTAACGCAAGGGACGCTAACGATCTAACAGCGCTACATTATGCCGCGTGGAAAGGCTACTGCGCTCTTGTCAAAATTTTACTAGCAAATGCAGCTAATTCTAACGCACTTAGTAACGGTTTGACGCCGCTGCATTACGCTGCCAAATACTCACACTTGTCAGTTGTAAACGATCTATTGTCTAACTCTGCAATATACAATGTTATCTCTGTCGATGGTAAAACACCGCTAGATTTAGCAACAGACGAAGATATAATATATTTACTTACATTAATAAGCAGGTTATTCGAGAAAGTTAAAAACAATGATAGTGGAGTGCTTCTTGAGCTTAACCGCATTGCCAATCTCGAAACAATAAAGGCAGTAATGAATGCCTGTAATGAAGAAAATGAAACGCTGATTTTTGCTGCGATACATAGTAACTTTTCGAAGGTTCAGAGCTTGAAAGAAGTGCCGCAAAGTATAACTACTATGGTTTATATTGGAGAATTTATGCTGGATCAAAGGATTTGCTTGCTAGCCTTACTTCTCTTCAAAATCGCGTACAAGAAAAGACTAAACATATTAGGACCAAAGAATCCGTCTACGTTGGATGCTCAAATATGCATAGCACGAACGTTATTCGAGCAAGGAGCTTATGAAGAAGCTTTAACAATGTTCAAAGAAATTTTCCAGAAGCAAAATGAAACGCTAGGTTCGCATGATGAAATCACTTTAAAGACAAAAAGTATGATTGCTTGGACTTTATACAATTTAACACGAAACGAGGAAGCCTTGCACATTTATCGGGAAGTTTCTCAGAAACAGGAAGAGATATTAGGACCGAATCATCAGGATACTATGAATGTTCAATTTCAAACGGCAAGGGTATTAGATAAACTAAGAAGATACGATGAAGCTGTAGATATTTATAGGAAAGTGTTTGAGGGAAAGGAAATCGAATTAGGATTAAATGATGCATTTATTCTAGCCGCTCAAAATAATATAGCTGTGACACTAACCAACCAAGGTAAAACTGAGGAAGCTTTAAAAATCCATAATGAAATACTTAACACAGTGAAAAATATTTATGATGTCAGTCATGTCGCTAATATAGAAACGTTACATAACATCGCCTGCGTACTCTTTCAACAAAACAGGCATCAGGAAGCGTTGAATAGTTACCAAGAGATACTAAATATTCAAGAAACTGTTTTTGGGCCGAATCATCGGAAAACATTAGTCGCTCATCACGACATGATAAATTTGCTTATTAAACATGGTAAACTGATTGGCGCGCTGGTAGCCTCTATGAAAGTTCTTCATCGAATGGAAGCTGCTTTTCCGCCTTGTCATCCTATCCTTAAGGGCACAAAAGAATATATAGAATCATTTAAATATGACTTTACGTTCGACCGACCCCATCTTTCTCGAATTATTAATTATATGATGGATAATATCAACAATGGTGCTATAAATAACAAATTAGAAATGATTGAATTGAGGTTCAAACAGGAACTCGACTTAAATGATAAGGATATCGAAGGGTTAACGCCTTTACATTATGCGGCCAGCAATGGACATATAAATGTCGTAGGTTTCTTATTGAAAAATGCTGCCGACATTGATGTAGCCAGTATTGAAGGTAATACTCCGTTACACGCTGCCACTACAAATGGTCATAAGAATATTGTACAACTTTTGTTGCAACACATAAGTCATGATAAATTAAGCAATTTTATTAATGCTAAAACTACTACTACCGGCACTGCATCGCTGCATATTGCAGCTACGAACGGTTCTTTAGATATCGTCTGTTGTTTACTCGGTTACGGAGCGATTTATAATATTAGAAATAAAGAAGGTAAAACACCATATAATCTTAGCAAAAACCAAAGTATCGTCAATTTACTACAGTTAATTGAAGAATTATTTAAAGACGCGAAAAATGGTAATACCGAGATTGTCAGAAAACTAAGTCTCTTAAAAGAATCAAAACCTAATCAATTCGTGGCTGCAACAAACGCTCGTAATAAACAAATGCATACCTTATTGCAAGTTGCTATATCTAATGGACATAAAAATGTTGCAAGTGAATTGTCAAAAATACTAAAATAAGTATTTGAACATATCACTGTACAAGATATTGAATGATTGAAAGATTTGCGAGATTATTAAGAAATACGAGCCTTAACAATAATTGGAACGAACGCACAGAAATTTTTAAACTAAATGTCGATTATATTATTTTTCATTATTCTTATCTGAATTCTGAATGTATATTTTTGTACTATACAATATAAACTATTTTTCATGCATGTACACATACATGTGCCCTTTATTTCGACTCCATCCAATCATTTTGTTTTTTATAATTGAGTTGCTAAGAACAATAATATTGTGTAAGTGTGCAGCTAATAACGATTTTGTTAAAACGTTGTGCATGCGTATAACTAAAAATGGAATGTTCCAAACTTTAGTTGGGAATCCTAATATAAAAGGTAAAAATTATGTCTTCCGCTTAAATCCTTCATTCTGGCAACGCTGGTATTAGGCTCCCAATGATAACAAATATCAGGATAGCGTATTTCTGCGTTACCGATGATATATGTTATGTATATGATTCTCTGCGCCGGTCGTCCATGCCGCCAGAGCTCGTGGCTGACGATGTTGAAATCAGCAGCAGCAGTAGCAGCAGCAGCAACGTAGTGTTGATCAGAGCTGACATTAAACGCAATTCCTCTCTTGAAGTGGAGAAGAGGCTTTCCTAAAAATTTTCGTACAATAAACATTTACGAGTTATCCGCTTAGCAAAAATGCCGCGCGGTAAGCGCATTTAATTATTATTAACTCCTGATTCGAGACAGTATAATTCGTCCGTCTTGTGCCCCACCACGTTTTGTTTGTCCGCGAGGAGAACGCAGTTTCGTACACGATGACCTCGACGATACGAATTCGGATCTAATTCATGATATTCTTTCAGGTAAATATGTCAGTTACAAGGGTCGGACCCGGCACTTCACGAACCCCGAGGAACTCGAGGAGCAACGACGCCAGGAGGAAAAAAAACTCCAGTGGAGAGTCAGTATTTTTAAGTTAACCAACAGCACGACGGCTTAGATATTATTGTTAAGTACGTAAGGTCGAATTGTCCTCCTTTGATGGTCGAGCGTGATTGCCTCCACCGTTACTGATATTTTCTTTCTGGAGCATTGTACATATCGGTGGCTTGAATTACCTTTTTGTGAAAGACGGAGCAATACTCTTAATCGAATTGAGAGAAATTCAGATGAACTACTTTTTTCTTCGATTCTAATGCATAAAAAATTCTTGAGTGTTCCATGGTATCGTGTACATCTTGTGGAATTTTTTCAGATTTTTTCATTAACAACATGTATGGCATAAAAACTGACAAAGTTCCGAAACTCTAGGGTTATGCATTTTTACGATTACAATTTTCTTCCCTTCAATTCTAATGCATCAAAAATTCTAAAATGTTGTATTGTATCATGTATAATTTTTGTTAAACTTTTGTCAATTATGTCAGTAAATTGAAAATTTTGCTTAGGGAACTGACTCATTTTAATACGAATAAAAAAAGTTTTAAATCTAAATATTACACTGACATTATCTTTCAGAAAAATAAAGGAAATGATAGCTCCAGTGACGAGGACGAAGATGAACCAAAAGCACATGGTGACTCAGTAAAAAAAGGTAGTTCTTCAGGATCAGATTCGGAAAGTGATTCAGACTCGGAATCTGAAACTGAGGTGAGTTGTATGAAACAAACCCTCTTGCATCATGAAATCATAATTCTTTCGAATGTTCCCAGGGAAAGACGAAAGGCGTAGAAAACTTAATCCAAGTTGAAAATCCAAATAGGGTACAAAAGAAAGCGAAAAAATTATCTCAATTAAATCAATCTCTAGAGCTTGCAAAGCCAGATTTATCTAGAAGAGAACGGTAAGTTGGATAGACATGAGTCACGTAATTCAGTTGAATTGAACATTTAATCATTTATTTGCAACCCTGTTTCTATATTAATTACTGTATCGTTCATTCTATGAAAGATTGTATGATCGAGTGTTGTTTAATAAAGAATTAATAAGACGTTCATTTGTTTATTTTCAGAGAACAATTAGAAAGACAGAGAGCACAGGCGAACTATCAGAAATTACATGCAGCGGGTAAAACAGATGAAGCCCGCGCGGATCTAGCACGATTAGCCATAATTAAACAGCAGCGAGAGGAGGCGGCGAAAAAACGCGAGGCCGAGAAAAAAGAGAAAGAGCTCGCCCTGCAAAAGAAAACAGAACTTAGGCAAAAAGCGCTCGGCAAGAAATCCTAGAAATCGTTTCGAATTCAGGCAATTTACGAACGAAAGGAACACTTTACGTCACAGCTACTATTACTATTAACAATGATGATGCAGTTCAATCTATACTTTCATATTGATACATATACTAATTGACTAAATCTACTCGGCGCATTCACAGTAAGCGTTTCATGGAATGTCCTCGTTTAATTCATAATAAAATGCAATTATTATGATAGCTCAATTGTTTTTCTCTCCGTCGCAAGTTCCACTTAACGTTCTCTCTCTTTATTCAATCCCTAATAGAAATTTTTAACTGGTAACTAGACTATCGACCTTGTGCATTTAAAGAAAAATTGTATCGACAGTAAATATAAAGAATATTTGAACTGTTATTTCGATTAGAAAGCACGTAACTGCTTTAAACATACAATCATCCTTACTTTATAATGAATACTTGTGTTAAATCTTTAAATGTATACAGTGCACCCGGATTAAATGATCAAACTAGACCAGTATGATCTATGAGTAAAAATAAGAAAAAAATGTTGTACAATCATAGTATCTGGAAACGCTTTATAAAAAGTTATAATAAAAATACGAATCCTAAAGTTAATAGCGAATTCGTTGTTGATGCATTGGAATACAACAATAAAGCGAGCATTTATATTTATAAAACCTGCTCTTAGCCATGTTTACTATTTGAAATAGTCGAACGCGATTATGTGCCTAGTAATTTATGTAAATATCTATACTGTTATGATAAGCGAAGGAATTAGCATCAGTTTCGAAACGTCAGAACGTATATCGTAAAATTTCATACCAAATGCCAAGAACTGTTCTAGAACGAAAAACTAATGCAAATACAGTTTTGTTTTGGTGATAGCTAGAACTGCTACTTTTGAATCACTTGTGATCCGATCACGTTTTAATTCTTTCAGAATCTGTTATTTGCGCTCTTCATATGGGCCGTGCACATTTAAAGTAGTAAATTATAAAAAAGTGAATAGTTTTATCTTTCAAAATAAATAGTAAATTTTTAGAAATATCATATCAGATATTTTAAAAATTGAAAGCTACTTCCGATTACTTTATTTTCTGTGATGGAAATTCTTGAACTGCCGTTAGAGAATATCACGGAAGATTCCCTAATAGGAGAGCGTCACATTTTACGGTGTTTGAGGGATGGTATTCAAAATTACTAACGGTAAAAACGGTCAAAAAAGTGATTATGGTCGTGATTTTGTACAGTACTTATTATAATCACAATACCTGCTAAAGTATAAAGGAAATATAGCTTTTAATTTTTAAAAAATTCGATACAATATTAAAATTAAATGCCCATGCACGGCCCATGTGAGGTGCGCAAGTGCAGACTCTGAAAGAATCAGAAGCAATCCCGAATTCCTATGAAAAATCATCGTGATTGGGAACGAACGTGATGGGATCACGAGTGATTCAAAAGTAGCAATTCTAGCATCACTGGTTGCGATGTTACGATCATATTGCGGTCGGTAGACTATGTCAAACTGAAACTGAAAAACTGGGCGCATTTGCCCCGTCGCATACAAAGAATACAAAGAAACAGAGCATTCGTAACGGGGGACGGCACTTTGAAATAGAAACATTAACTTCTTTTTAATGTAACAAACTGAGATAAAAGCGTTTGCAGACATGTTTATATAACATTATTTTCTTATTTTTATTTATAGAACATATATTGGTGCAGTTGGATCATTCAATTCTGGGACACCCTGTACATATCTCAATTATACATTTTGATTAAAAATAGTCATAAGGCGTATTGCCAATTTTATTTTGCTATCGTGTTCGTTAATTTGAGATTTCTTCTATTCCAGGCAGGTATTGATAACAATAGTTAGGAGTAGAAGATTGGTATCGAAGGAGTTTTAGCGGGCGGCTTGACATCAGCGTCTAACGGACTTTCATGATTCTTTCTAATGCTTCATCAAAAATCATTTTGCACAATATATGCTAAGAACCTCGATGAAAATATACAACCTCGATTCAGACAAAGCATTAATTCGTGTACAAAGTTCATGCGTCTAGTTGGCTATAATTTGGTGTGTCGATCGGGTAAAAAGAGGAAACAGGATGGAAGACAGACAGTGCAGGTTCTGCAGTCGAGCCGTTGATCCGAGCCGACGCAATGTGGTCGGATATCATCTACGTCTTACTACTATCGTTCTGTGTCTTCATTGGGTTTTATTACCGTAACATCAGTGACCCGGACGTGAAAAAATGGATCGGAACTATCATCGGCTTCGCGATTACTGTGATCGTGTCTGGGAGCCACACATATTATCCTTTAATCTTCACCCTGATTAACGCGATTATCATAACCAAGTTCTCACCGAAGTACGATAGTATTTATTATTATTATATTATTGTACATATTATTGTACGCGTCGAACATTTCAAACAGAATTTCAGTTTCTTTATCTTATCGGTCAAACGTCTTAACTTTCAAATTATATGAGACGTAGGTTTCCCCCTTCTTTTTGAACGATGTATCGAATACACTGTGCGTGATGATGATTGTTCACTTTTAAGAGTCATAATTGCTACTTATCGAGTATTAAAGTAGTCTCGATTGCAATGTGATTCAAAGTTCTTAGTTCTACGTTCGATTATTCAGTCTCATGAGAAGTATAAATATTTGTTACAGTTAGATGAACAGGAAATTGTTAACATATCATTTTTATGTTCCAACAACGAATTTTCACTGTTTCTAACTTTGTCTTTTGCAGACTATGTCACCTAGCCAGTTTTTATTTTTCATTTTTTTACCTACTTTTCGTATCCCGATTGGGAGACTATGTCGGTCTGCCAGTAGTATCGACTCATACAAACCTTATACTTATGATAATGACACTGAAAATATCTGGCCTGGCTTTCGAAATAAATGCTGCTGATGGTCGAGACGATGCCCAAGACGATGTGGAAGGTGTCAGCTCTAAGGCACTAAAAAATGTAGGGATAACGGACGTATTCCATTACGGTTTCAGCTACATGGGACTATTAACAGGTAACTTTTGATTCGATTCAATTTTAACATTATGCTGATTTTTATCATCTTGTAGGCCCTTATTATCGATACAGAACTTATTGGGATCACCTACACAGACCGTTTTACAAATGCGTAGACCCTTGGACTTTGACCCTACCTAAACTTCAAGCAATTGTGGTCTACTGTGTCTTGTTTTTGATAATGAATTACTTATACCCTGTCAATGTAATACAGATTTTCTTTTTCAACAGTAGATCGCGGATTTTTATGCAAATTTCATGGTATCAGTTAAAAAGATTCTAAATGAATATTTTTTTTATCATATAATTATTATAAATGTTAACACGTTGAGTACCGCGTCAGTCATCGGTGACTGACACTAACTTTCCGTTCAGGCCGCGACAGTCTCAGGCATCTCAGTCAATTTTTCTATAAACGTACCTTTGATATTTTGTAGAGTTTTCAATATAGCAGACATTCTTTATACTTAATGCCGATACAATTTTACTATAAATCCGCTGTCTATTTAAGAGCGCACGGACAGGATACTGAATTCTATTTCAAATTTCAGTACGTCTTGACGGAGGAATACGCGGAGCAGTCTTTTCTTTATAGGCATTTCTACATGTACCCCACATTCGCGGTGTTTCGATTAAGAATGTACATTGGTATGGGTTTAGCCGAATGCGCTTGCCAGATGGCTGGATTGGGTGCATACCCGGCGAAATCGAATCCTCTTCCAGGGATGGGGCCGAAGGATTACATGAGGATAGAGAAAGAGTAAGAAATTCCTGGTAAATCGATTAATAATGAGAATTGTAAAACGTATTTCGTCACAGATTGCCGGAAGACTTGAGAGCCGATGAATGCAACTTTAATGCGGTTTATAATATGGATGTTAAGAGACTGGAAACGTGCATGTCCGTGAGAACAGCCATGAAAGCATGGAATGGATGCATTCAATATTACTTCGGCGTCTACGTGTACAAACGATTCCCGTATAAGAGCCTGAGAACTCTAGTCACGTTAACGTTGTCTGCCATTTGGCATGGCTGGGCGCCTGGCTATTTCATTTGTATTTGCCAAATACCTTTGTTCATGTTAACCGATGATCTAGTCACGAAGTTTTATCGGCAGAACGAAGAAGCCACTTTTGTAAGTACTAGATACGGTGGCTACTCAAAATATGGGTATTTATGCATTTTAAATAATTTAAAGAAAGGCAGTGTGCAATACATAACATGTAAACAAATGCAAAGTATTCAAAGTTAAACACAATTTATAATAGAGAAACCAGTGATTCTTATTAATATTCGGGTACACTTTAAAATAGAATAACTTATTCAATATTGAATCAAACAGCTTCCTTGAACAGGAGTTTTTTTATATTTTTGTTACACATTGTACAGTACTCTAAGTCTTCTAATGTACCACAGAAAATTAAGTCGTTTGATTCAGTATTAAAAAAATTATTGTTTTTAAACGTGTTTGAATATATTAATAGGAGTGCTGTATGTTCACTTCATTTCTTTAATTTTATTTATAAAAATAGGAATTTACATAAATATCTGTAGTCGACTAATGAGACTTGGAAATTACTGACAATTCCATTTTTGTCTAGAGCAATACGCTATGGTATATGCTAGGATGGTACGAGAAAACGACTTGTATGGCTTATTTAGGAGTGCCGTTCTTATTATTAGGCTTCGAGGACTGTATGCACTATTATAAGCAAGTTTACTTCTCTGGCCACATCGTCGCACTCTTAATGTACGTTACCGTTCTCTGTTGTAAGCCGTACATTTTGAAGAAAGCTAAGAAAGAAGAGTAAGAAGAAAGTGATCAACGATTCTGCACGAAATTGCATGTCTTTCTAATATTTAGATATATATAGGTATACATTTAAACGAAATACGTATTTGAATACGTATTTCCGCGTAACTTTACAAATCGAGCCATTATCTACTTCTAAAGAAGTCTAGGGTAACTTAGGTACTACACTCTTTAGGGTATTTTTATTGTTTTTTTTTTAGATATATATTAATGTAAGGATGATGGTCATTAGACTGAGGATTTTTATGCAAAATAAAATATTTATAGTAGCCGTTTAAAAAATACATTTTAGATCAACATTTCTTTTATCATTTAAATATTGCAATATACAATCTACTTTTGATATTTTCTATATTTTTGTACATTGCATGTAGTGCTTTCATTTCTTTCTACATTAAGTTTTCGTAGAGATCCATAAAATCTGCGGTCTAATGATCACGTGTAAAATGCTTGTTAAAGTAAAGCAATACTTTTTTTTATTGTTGTTGAATCAATGAGTCCGTAGGGTGTTGAATAATAAGTTTTACTCTAATTAAAAGAAAGATTCTCCTCGGATATTTAGAGGACTCTTCCATTTATTTAACTGAGAAATAAAAAAGATGTATTTCTTCGATAAAGTAACTTTTATTCATCGCACAACCCACCACATTTCTACAAAAATGTACCTTGGAAACAAAAAATAGAATAAATAAAATAATGTATATATTAAGACATTGTCTTACCTCTATTGTAAAACATACTTACTCTACCGATGTTTACTGAGACCTGAAAGAAAGAGACACAAGAAAAGCGAGAGGATCCCATTTCCCACCCGTTCAATTATTCATAATGTGGCGGCAAGTGTTCCAAAGCGATGATCGCATATAAAATTGAAAATTTACGAACCCTTTCCACGAAATACGAAAACAACGATAATAAAAATGCAATTGTTCTGTTTTCAAAATAATGGAAATTAGTTCTGATTTATAAAAATGAATGATTAAAAACAGGAATGAAAGAGTCTGACGTTAATTAGCAAAAAAGAGGCAATCGAATGTATCAAAACTTACGAGTCGGACCTACGCAGAGAACAAAGCATGCTCGGTTTCGAATGAGCCAACCCTGGAGAGGAATATACAATAATTCGTTTGAAGAAACCACGCGAAATACAATTAAAATGTAACTGTTGAGAATGAGTCGTTGCCCGCGAGGTCTGGTGATGCTCTACCTGCAAACCGGACGAAGGTGGTCGACAGAGACAGCAACCGCATCCGTCATATTTTCTCAGCGCACTCCCGAGAGACCGTACCCTTCTGCGATTTCTGCACACACGGCGACCCCCCACTGAGAGAGAGAGAGAGGAGAGGAGAGTCGACGGAGAGCTTTCGCTCACACAGACTTTCTTTCTCTCGCCCCTGATCTCGAATCTCTCGCGCGAATCTGCTTTCACCAGACCACCAACCGCTCGCTACTGCAAACTGCTTACAGCCCTGCTACTCTCGGCTTACTGCTTACTCTCAGCTACCCCATCATCGGCTACACTCGCCACGCCACTCCTTTCCACCGCCTGTGGCACCATAAAATTACAACTTAGTTATATAAGGAATAAACGTGTCGCATCCGTGTGTCAGGAATTTTTCATATCTTTCATTATTTTCGAGATATTTGAAGATATAACATTTAAAGACAAAGCAAGACGTTAAGTACTACGAGCTAACTTAACGAAATTTAGTATACCTAAGATTAATGACAGTTAATAACATTTAGAAATAAAACATTTAGCAGAATTGTGAATGTCGAAACTAGAACTGATGTTTGAGAACGGTACAGCATGTGTTCATATGCGCATATTCTCAAGATTATCTAAATTCATTTTTAGATAGATATAAACGGTAAGAAAATTGATTAGACAGTATCGTCTACACCTAATTTATTTGATATTTTAAACACTGTCTAAAACTATTCGAGTAGTTCCGGCCTCTGCATTTTTTATTACACTTTATTAGAAATGGGAAACTTACATTAAATAAACCTGTCTACTATTACAGAAACGCAGAACTTATTTCTATAAATTTATTTGAAATTTTCCTTTCTTTCTCCTGATTGATAAAGGTCGATCATCGTAAATTAATAGAAAATTAGGACAATCATCACGATTTAGAAGTTGAAAAGTCGATCTCACGACACAGTTTACATTACCTGCTAATTACCATATATCACTCCTCGTTTATTTTCAGTGATAATTTAATCCACCTTGTTCGAAGCAATTTAATGAACGACGGAAAGACTGAATTCGCAATTGACACTTTTAATCGAAATAATTGATTTGCTGCAATATCATACGTATGCCACATGATTCGGAAAATGTAGGAAACAAATATAACTCACTTATATATAGTCGCGTACTAGAAATTGTGCACACTATATATAGTACAACGTAAAAAGGAACGTTGTACGATTCGAATAACAATTTTTATTCACAGAATATGAACTCGAATGTGATGTGCTCTACTTCAGTAAAATTCCAAACTAATTTTAGAACAGTGAAACGTGTATTTCCTATGAAAATCTCATAATTTAATCAAAATCAGATGTCAATTTATTAATCAAGAAACAAGCTGTCGTGGTCGCTGCATGGCGAAAAAAAACGATATATTTACTTCGAATTGGGAAAAAAAAGCAAAAGCTCGGTACTATATATGTAGATATATATATATATATATGTATATATATATCACTTAACAGATTAATGAATAATTATGAGAACTTGAAAAATGAGTCTCTTAAACTCACAGTCTAGATACAATTACATTTAAAATTAGTTTTTGGGTTTTCTTATCTCGTTTTATCATTTGTCTAACCCAAACAAGTGCGCTGTCGTAATTAATATGTAAGTGACAGAAGAAATGTGAACGTGCGACAGTGTTGCTCTAGGTATAGAGGGTAATATAATACCTTTTTGTTCTCAAGAAACGATTATTCTGCATTCGCGGCGTGTGCATCTGTTCACAGTTGTACTTGCATATGGTTCCATTACTTCAGTCTCTGAAAAAGAAAAAGTAAAATATTTTAAATGAACATATTTGAAAAGAACGATCGAGAATTCATGATGACTAGACTCCGGATCTTTATGCAAAAGAAAACATCTATTGCATATGTATATGTTTTCGATAAACATTTGTTTAATCGCGTAAACACTGAATTATGTATTTAGCTGTTGATATTCTTAATTGTCTTATATATCACTCGACGTTTGTCACTTATGCATGTACAGTGGCTTATGAAAGTATTCGGACATCTTTTAAAACGAGATAACTTTTTTAATATTGGGCCGAACGACTTGCATTTTCTTTCGGATGTTCGGAGGTCTGGTTTACTACGTAATATGTAACAAAAAATTGCTGTTTGCTAGAATCTCGAAGTTAAAAGGACAAGGTTTTTAACTTTTTTTTATTGTTTTCAATAAAACGTTGAAACGTCTCGTTTGTAGACCTAATTAACAAGGAGAACGAACAATCGTCGGGTCATCGATTTAGTTGAAAGTTAGTAAGTTTAGTTAGTAAACAAGATCTCTAATCGTCTAAAAAAAAATTAATATTTTATCTAGTATTAATAAAGGTATTATATTTTGAAGTGTGTCCGAATATTAATGTAAATCACTGTATTGATTAGAAGTACAAGAGTTTTACATTTACAATTTCTTTTTATACAATTTTCTTATAATTGCATAAAGTCCGCAATCTAATGATGACTTACCTCGATTTGGAACGACTGTCCTTTTGTCTGTCTGCAGATTTGCTACGAGAACGTGACTTTCCGCGTGAGCTCTTACTATCAGAACGTGAACGACTGCGGCTACGGCTGTATGATCGTCTACGATCCCTGTCACGGCTCCTAGATCGACTGCGAGATCTAGTGCGCGACCGTCTTCGATCCCTGCTCCTGCTACGTGATCTATAAACAAAAGAAACTTCATCTTTTTATCTTCTTAAATGCATTTTATATTCATATATTAACTCTAGAACCGCCGCCTTTTTATATATATGAATTTCTCCATTCAAATATACACAAGCATTTCTCTATTCAAATATAAAAACAAGTCGTTTTGACTGAATTGGTAGTTCTAGTATTAAATTAATTATTATATACTTAAAGACTACAGCGCTGGTTTTACTGCGTTGACTGGAAACTGGAATTGGAACTGACCAGCTAGGAGTTACGCGCCCATCACGTCTCACACCAATAATTTTGAATTATATTCGTAAAGAGGCACACGGCATTGTGAAATGGAAACATCAACTTCTTTTTAATGTAATAAACGATATACGATGTAACATACGATAAATTGCAGGAACTCTCGTATAGCACTGCATTCTATGACACTGTTCCATTCTAACACGATAAGAAAATTACAAAAACTTTCGTACAACACTGTACTTCTACAGCACTAGATAACATGATTTTTGTTTAACATATTTAAAAACTAAATTACCTTAAAATAATGACTGGTAGGAATAATAAACTATAATGACTTTGCATGAAATTATATAAATAAATTATAATTGTAAGTGACTTTTCCATCTTTAAGACCAATTTTTGGAAAATCAAGCTTTAGTCCCGAGCCATGTCTGATAAAGATAAAAAAAACAACGTTTAAGAAGGAATTTATTTCTTTAGAAGTAAACATACAAATATTGGATCGTCTTTTAAAAGTTTTCGGAATAGAACCCCCTTTTTTGTACTGGGTCTGGGTCTCATATCAGTTTCACACAACACGGCATTTTCTAGGAACCTATCTACCGTGTTATAGCTTAACCTGTAAGTCGTTAATCAAAACTGCTGTTCTCCAAGGTGAGTGGATGTTCTCTTTCCCACTTACGATTATAATTCGATTACATGTAGAGATTCGCACAATTAAGAGTCGGTTAACATAGAGAACTTCTTCTTACAATCACTGATCATTAACCAAGCACGTTACCAAAGTACCACTGTACTTGTTGCAAAATGTAACTGGAAAAAAATTACCTTCCACGCCGACGGCTTCCACGGCTGCGATGTGGAGAAGTTGGTCGCCCATATCGTGCCATTTGAACCCTGAGCTCCCTACCATCCAGCAATCTTCCATCCATAGCGTCTAGTGCATCTTCTGCATCCCGTTTATCATAGAATCTGAAATATATCAAAGTTTTATATCACCAAAACTGCGACCCTCTTTATATATATATGACAAGATCAAGTAGATCACATATGGGCAACATCTGGCTTGCATCTGGTATGATAATAAATATAATAATAAATACTAGACTATCGAGATTCATTTAACATTAATTTGTTTTATTTCATAATTCGGTTCGGCTAAATTGGCACAGCGATGAAATGATAATTTCGTTCGAATCTAGGAAAAATTGTCTATGCTTGGAATCTTGGAGTAGATACTTTGCTATGCTCCAACGATTTGTTGGTATCTACAGACTCAATCGCGCTATCTAAATATCACAATGACGTCACATTCGTATAATCGTGATTATAAAAATACGTCTAATAGATAGATATAAGGGAAAATGGTTTTTCAACGTACCTGACGAAAGCAAACCCGCGGCTTTCGCGGGTGAAGCGGTCCCTTGGTATATAAATGTCGCCAACCTCGCCACATCTCTCGAACACGCGTCTCAAATCCTCCGGCGTCGTTCTGTACGTGAGATTGTCTACTTTAAGGGATACCATCCCGTCGATTCGGGGCGGTGGTCTGCCGTAGCTCATATTCGCCGGCTTTTCGGGCTCGAGAATGAACAGAACACACTACGAACCGAAAAATCAGTTACGGTTTAAGTGGCACACGTCCACGCACATCAGGAACAAAATGGCGAGTGGCGGAAGAACGGCCTCTACCTCTACCTCTACGCGCAATGTGGTGGGAAATGACGTGACAATGTTGTACTACACGAGTCAAACCTCTTTCCGCTAGTATATCAAGCGTCCAATGTATTTTCGTTAACGCGGTAAAAGAGAAAAGAGAAATATTTTGCAGGAGTTTCTGTATTTTTTTCTTACATGTTGATAGAAAAAGGGGAAAATTTTTATTTATTTTCTTCCTAGTCTGAAGTCTCTTATTTGGACGGTCGATCTATTTTTCATTCCATCAGGGTTGCAGATGAATGATTTAAATCTTTAATTCAATTGGACATTAAATAAGTGGAAATTAACGTTT